ATAATTTAATCTAGTGGTAATAATTTGAACTTAAATTGCTGCTATTATATGGGGTGATTCGATGAGAGCATAAATGTTTAGTTGAGCTTATATACATTATAATGAATTTGTGGCCCCCTTTATTCCAGTGAAATCATGGGAAAAAAAACACAACCTCGCTTAGTTTGAGGATCGCAATATGTTTAGCATCGTGTACCAGAAATGTATCTAGGAAAGCTTATGTAGTCATTGCACTTAGGCTAATACCTTAACCAATAAAGGTTGAAGTTAAGCGCCCATGCTTAAGCATGTAGATTTTTGAGTGAAAAAAGTGAGTTACATGTAAAAAAAAGAGAATTACAAGAAAATTTGTAAGAATTTTGGAGCAATCAAAATAAAAATCAAAAGATCAAAGTTCTGAAGAAATTCAAAAGTTGAAGATACCAAAAATGATACAAAAAGGTGGTGAATTTAAAGAAATTAAAGATCAAATATAAAAGAAGTGAAGCATTCCAAGGGCTCCATTATGGTATCAAAAATTTGTAATTTCTAGATTATGTATGCTTGGGTAGCTTTACAAAAATACATTGAGGTTAGAAAGATTTCTGTGGATGGATTCGGAAGGATGCATAAAATGAGTGTTGCTAAAAAGAAATGGGCGAGTGTTTATGAGGATTGTGAGTATTTAGAATTAGGAGGGGTCCTTAGGAAAATTTGAGACACAAATACATGCGTTGCGGTATTAGCATAATGGTTGAGTTTGAAATGGATTGTTCTATGTGATGATAGTGATGAGAGTTGGAGTTTAAATAATTAGATTTGCTTGAGGGCAAAGCAAATAATAAGTGTAAGGTATTTTGATATTGCCATATTTATACATGGTTTTAGGCAATATTTACTTATATTTTTCTTAATATTTTGGTTATTTGCATTGAATAATGTCACTTATAAACTTTAATTGTACTTTGTAGCCAAATAGAAGCATTCTTGAAGAAAATGGACTAAAAATGACAAAGCATGGAACTTTGGAGGTTCGGAGAGTTAAAGAAGAAGAAACCCACGTGAAAGCTCAACTCATGACGTGAATATTTAGGGTTCACGACGTGAGTACGAATATTCCAGAAGATTAACATCGTGGAGGAGGAATCATTGTAGAACACAAATATATACCGAATTCACTTCGTGAGTCATACTCATTCACGACGTGAGAGCGAATTTCATAATAACTATATATTCTCTTGATTATTACGACTTGGGAGACTTTTGGCTGACTGGAGGAGTTTTTGGAGACGAAAATAGTAGAGTTCAAAGGCCTGGAAATTGGTTTCAACACCAAGGAAGAAGGAAGAGTCCATTATTAGCTTTATAGTTTGATACATTTAGCATGGTTTTAAATATGACTTGAGATTTTTTATTTGCTAGGATGTCCAGCTAAATCTAGTTGCTTCTGTTAGCTAGATGAAGTTGGAACTCATGATTTTAATAACTTAGTTTTGATTTACTTGTTGGTTATGACTTGTGTTTAATTGATTGAACCTAGCATGTTTGATTTAATATTTGATTACTTTAAATTCTTGTTCTGTGTAGTTAGTGAATACAAATCTACATGAATTTGAATACCTAATAATTTAGTGCACTAGTTTATTAGAGCTAAGATCAAACCAATCTTAGATAAGTAATTATTCAATTAAGCTGTGCTAGAGAACTCATTTTATGACCGTAAGTGCGTTTTCCAAATCAATCTTACATGACTCTAATCCTATTCAATAATTGATTATGTGTTAACTATTGTGTGACCATACATAAACTTACATGAATTAATTGATGTTAGTAAATTTAGAATTGAATTACTAATACTATCTTATATGATAACCAACAGTAATTGCCTAACTAATTTATAAACCATTGAGGGAAAGTGGATTCGAACTAACAGAAGTGTTTTGTTTATTGATTAAATTTGTGTTAAAGAATTAGGTTTTTCTAAACTTGCAAAATTAGATAAAACCCATTTCTTCATTAGAAATTAGGTTAATTTAATAGTAGATAGATTAATTAGTTAAAACCGTTCCTCTGATCGATATCCGACTTAGTTAAATTATTTTATAATTTAACTAGGTACACTGCCTAGATACATTTTAGTTAGTTAAGTAGTTAGGTTATAAAATTAAATTAGGTGTAGCTAATTGCACGTATTTTATATATATATATATATATATATATATATATATATATATATATATATATATATATATATATATATATATATATATATATATATGATTTCTTGTTACCTCCATCTAAACTTGTGTTAAGAAACCAATGCTTCTTTGACAAATCAACTTATAAACTAGATTATCAAAAGCTATCTCAGGTTAAATTATCAACTTATGAACTACTTTATAAATTATTATAAACTTGTAAGTTACCTTTATTTATCAAACGCTAAGTTACAAAAAAATATCTTATATTGTTTAACAAGGCTTAAATGAATCTCAACTCTAACATAGCGAGAAAAGGTGGATTGCATCTTGACATTGGGATTGGGATTCTCTTGCAGGTTAGTCTTTCAAATTGTCTCCAGTTTACATTTTTATTTTATTTTGAATTTGAAGTCACATAAAAGTATCTTGGTTGTAGAGTTTCTTCTTGTATGGAGTTTCACTTTGAAATTTAATTTAAAAAGAATGTTATATAAATATATAGTAAAAAATTTAATAGAGAACTATAATTATTGGTTTTTCAAAAAATCAATTTTGTTTTTCAATTTCTAAAGCTTATTATTTATCGAAAAAAAATCTAAAAATATCTAAATTCATATATTAACATTGTGAATGTGAAAAATATTTTTCGGATTCACCGTGTGAATCTGGATTCACGTTATGGATTTTAAAAAATTCACATTGTGAATTTGACGTAAAAAAAATCGAATTTGATATCATTGGAAAAATGATAAAAAATTATGAATTTCTATATTTTTAGTTTTATTTTTTTGATAAAAAATAAGTTCTAAAAGTTAAAAAAAAAATTGATTTTTTAGTTTCTTGGTTAATTATGGTTTTCTATTAAACTTCATCATATATATATATATATATATATATATATATATATATATATATATATATATATATATATATATATATATATATATATATATATATATATATATCCAAATGTTTGTGAGGTCATTCCACGTAATCGAATATACTCTTTCTTTTGGATTTCATATCTACTTTTGAACTTTCAATTTTTTTTGTTATTATATTTTGTACCTTTAAATTATTTTTGATGTAATAATTTTTATCATTATAATTTAAAATCAAATTATTGGTATCTTATAAGTTTTAATTTTGGTCTTTAGTATATTTTAAAGTTACAGTTTTAATCTCTTACATATTTGTATTACAGTTTTATTTTTTATTAATATTGTTTTTTAACAATATAATTTCTTAAATAGTTATCATTTGTGTAGTGTGTCGATCAAGATACAATATTAAAATTTATTTTTATCTGCATCCTTCATTTATAATATTTTTCATTGAAATTTTATTTTATATTTTTATTGTTCACTTTGAAAATATATTCTTCACTACAACGAGGTGATATAATACTAATATTTATTATTATTTATTAAATTGCAATATTAGTGCTAGTGTAGAGTATTGTTCATTTGCTATCGATATTTTCCGGAACAAACCATTTAAAGCATTGAATACACAATATACAAAAGGAACCCGAAAATTGAGATTTTGGTTATGGTAATAGAAAAATTTTATATTTATATTTTCTTGACCTCAAATAATTTTAATTTAACAATTTTCAATCTTTATAAACTTAAAATTAAATTATTAATATTTTATAAGCTACAATTTTAGTCCTTTATTATGATTTAAACATACATTTTTGGTCATTTATACTTTTTGTTTTTATATTTTTTAGTTTTATTAATATTACTTTTTATTATTATGATTTCTTAATTAAATTATGATATTTTTGCATGTCTTCTTCGTATATAATTGTTTTTATCGAAACTTTATTTTATACTTTGATGATTCATTCTGTAAATCATTTATAATGTAAGCCGTTGGATATGAATATACATAAATCATGTGGTAAGAAGAGTCATTTGGACTTTTTGCTTTTAAACTCAAATTTATTAAAATAAAATAATTATATATATTGTCAAGCACGTAATATAAAATGTACAGTATTTCTAGAAATAATTATTTAGGTTCAAGTCATAAAAAATTTTTATATTTATATTTTTTCATGTTAATTAATTTTAATTTAACAGTTTTCACCTCATAATTTTAATATGAAATTACTTTTATTTATACATTATGATTTGGTCCTTACTATATTTTAAAATATATTGTTAGCCTTTTACATAATTTTTTAATAATCTTTTTTTAATAATTTCTTTAGGATACAATTTTAACTTTTATTTTCTTCCACATCCTCCGTACATACCTGTTTATCCAAAATTTATTTTAATATTTTTGTGATCTACTTTATATGGTTTAATTGTCTCCGTAGTATATATGATTTCAAGCTGTGTTTTTTAACATACTGGGCTTCCGCAACATCACGCGGACGGTCCAAACCCTAGTTATATCTTAATTAACATTATTAAAAATAAATTTATTTAAATAGGTGATATTTAATTCAATAGTTTAATCTTCACTCACGTCATCATCCTTGACTATTAAAATTTAAAAACATATTTAATCATAATTTGCATTATATGCAACTTTCGTTAAATAATTTTACAATAAGATAAATTAAAAAAAAAAAAAATGAGTTGCATTACTAACTTTCCAATACGATAAAGTAAAAAAAAATGAGTTTCATTAACTCATTCAAGTAAAAATACTCTCTATTATTTATATAAATTTCTAGCTTAATAATTTTAAATTAACAGCTGAGTCAAAAATGACGTAAGAGTCATTATTATTCTTTGTCTACTTGTTAGTCGGATTTAATGCAAATTATTTAACGAAGTTGCGTATAATTCAATTCATTTTATTATTTTGTCTTTTAGATTTAATGATGTCCGGTGCATCTATGTCCTGTGAATCGTATCATGCTGTGCTCGTCTCAACAATAAAAAGGTAGAAAAATCATAAATAAGCTTTCACATGTATAGCGAAAAATGAATTATGATTATTAATTTGTTTTTTTTACTAGATAGCGAAAATTCGTTTATAAGAATATGTTCAACCATCGTTGTTTTATTTGGATAGCGAGGAAAAATCATATATTATTTTTTTTCGTAATTCGTAATGTCCCTTTCGTAATGTTAAGGCAAAAAGGAAGAACTAAAATATCATACAAGACTTTGTATGTCCAAGATGTCTCCACGTCATTCTATATCTCCAGTCCACCATCCCTCCACAATATCTTGAATCTTCTCCGGTTTCTCTGAAATCTGTACAAACTACATTCTACATACATGTATCATGATGAAATCATCATGAGGACACCACCCCCTTGTCTGATTTTTATCCATTGCTTGGATAACAAGCATATTTCCTACCAACTACTTCGGTTTTGATACACAAACGTCAAACTAAATTCATACCCGTCTTTGAATCCACTCAATTTCACTTTCTTTTCATCAATTTTGAAAATATTTTTTTTTTCTTCAAAAACATGCCTGATTCACCTCCTCCTGCTGAACACTCCCATGGAAGCCCACTGAGTCGCCGACCTTGTGATTTCTGTAATAAATCGACGGCGCTTCTGTATTGTAGAGCTGATAACGCCAAGCTCTGTCTCTCCTGCGACCGAGAAGTTCATTCGACTAATCAGCTTTTCACTAAGCACACACGGTCGTTGCTTTGTGATGGTTGTGATTCTTCGCCTGCTTCGATTTTCTGCTCCACTGACGCCGTTGTTCACTGCCAGAATTGCGACTGGGAGGCACATAACAAGTCGAACTCGAATTCGAATTCGAATTCGAGTTCGCCGGCGACACACGATCGGCGACCTCTTGAAGGGTTTACTGGTTGTCCTTCTGTTACTGATTTGCTATCGATTTTAGGGTTTGAGGATTTGAGCAAAAAAGGGCTTTTACTTTGTGGTAGTTGTGAGGAAGGATCCGATTCTTACGGGTCGGGTGATAAGTTTCCGGATTATCTTGTTTGGGATACGCCTTCGTTTGTGAGCCTGGATGACCTGATTGTTTCAAGTGGCTCTGAGCATAACTATCAAGCCATGGGTGTCCCTCCTCTCCCCAAGGTACAACGTCTCATTCTCATTCTTCATAAAATGGTTGTCGTTTGTTTATTAATTCTGACTGTTGAATCAGAACCGAAATGCTGCGTTCGGAGCATACAAAGATGAACTTGTTCGCCAGCTTCGTGAATTGGCAAAGTCCGACCCAAATTTGGATGGCGATGAAGGCATTATTAAACCAACAAACGATGAGTTTCAGCCTATTAATATGGCAACTACACAAAATAATAGGGGTTTAGGGTTTGAACATAAGTTAGAAGAGCAGCAAGTAGCATATTCTTCAAATGAGGTATAATTAAATTAGTCTCGTCTTCATTTTTCATTAAGGAAACAGGTGAGAAATGAGTATAGAGTAGTAACCTCTTGACTTGAATACACAGGCGAATACATTTCAATGGTGTCCCGATGTTTGTGATGCCGTGGGTCAAGATTTATATTCTGACCAATTACATAACGCCACAGAGACACAATGCATAGTTCCTGTTGAAAAGATCGATGCTGTTCATCATAGTATCACTGCTGAAAATACACAAGTCTTCCCCAACACCTTTGTTGGTGTACGTGAAATCAACAGTCAGGAGAGAGAAACCGCACTCTCGCGATACAAAGAGAAGAAGAAATCCAGGAGGTATTGTGTTTTGGCTTGGCAGATATTTTTTTTAAAACATTATTTATCGGAATTTAATTCGGGTTCCTTTTTTTTCTTCTTTTGTTGTCAAACTGGTTATAACAGGTATGATAAGCATATTAGGTATGAATCACGAAAGGTTAGAGCCGAAAGCAGGATAAGGATCCGGGGTCGTTTTGCAAAAATGGATCGTTTGGATGTTTGATAGATGATATAGTGAGTGAGTGTAGTTGTGGTATTGCTTCATGCATATCAAAAGATGTTTATGAGTAGTGCCATGGTTTTATGTTTTGAGCATGTTTTGTTGCGAGTGTAGCTTGTAAATAAAATAAAGATATGAGTTATTTAATTAAAATTAGGTTTTCAAATTTAAAAGCAATCGTGAGAGTCACCATTGAATGGAACAATGAGAAAGATAGATTTGGATATATGTAGGTACATTAATCTATTAACATGTTGCAGCTGTCCGCGGGAGGAGAAAAGGGTTGGTGGGGTGCTGAGTTTGGTTTCAACCCATTTATTGAAATTGGAGGATTGTAATCCTAAAATATATATATATATATATATATATATATATATATATATATATATATATATATATATATATATATATATATATATATATATATATATATATATATATATATATATATATATATATTGTAGGCGTAAAAGTTAAAGAAAATGAAATGGATTGGAAAATGTTACATGTTTCTCTTGTAAGGGTCGTATTGTTTGTTTGTAACTTCTCTTTTGATTGTTGGGAAATCATGATGTTGTAATGTGTTTTGTATTAGATTTGATATTGTATTTTGTGTTAGGTTCATTGGCTTTGGAATTGTATTAGTCAATTGACACATTTTAATGGTAACTACGAGATAAGTCCGGGCTACGTATCAGGATTATTTATTTATTTATTTATTTTTGTGCTATTGTGCTATGATAGATTTCATAAAAATTACCGAAAAACCTTATGTACAACACAATGAAAAGTTTGATAGAGAAGATTTCGAGCGTCCTTTCACCGTTTCACGATTTTAGGATAATAAAAGTATGTTGCTGTGAACAATTTCTATTGAATTTTTTGGGAAGTAGTGTGTTAAATTGTAAAAAATGTTTATAAGACCATGAAAAAATGCAACATTTTGAAAAAACAAAAGCCTAAAAAACGACTTTAAAAAAATGTAGTAATTAAGTTAAAAATGAATTTCTTAAAAAAAAATATAAGTTGGGCTAAAACTGTAAAAAACAGAAAAATAGAAATAAAAAAAAGTCGACCAATGTAGGTAATAGTATTCAAACCCTTGCTAAAGGAAATGGAAGCGACACAAAAGCTAACAAGTAAACCCCCAATTACTTGATGTTATAGTTTAACACACAACAGTTGTAAACTTAATTTATCCGGTGCATTTTACCAAAACCCAAAAACATTGTTCCTAAATGATACGATTTTCAGTATGTATAGTGGGGATGTCTTTCTGTGATGTCGAGGTTCTAAAGTCACAGAGATTGAACCTGCGATATTTCAGAATGTTCCATTGAAACTTGTTACTAGTAACAATTTCATGGTTATGAAATCTCAAATTCAAGATACACTTCTTGAACGCTTTTCTTGTATTAAAGTTCCAACTCACATGTAGATTTTACAAACATCTCCTATTATGGAAACATTTCCATATTCTCATATGACAAACATTCATACCAAAATCATTTCAATCCAGAACGTGTCACTATGGTCCGTCCTATTAATAACATACTCCCACTGTCCACAAACAACCAGTCTGCGGTAAACCTCAGAAATTTTAATCCTTTTCACACAATGCTAAATGCATTTGAAAATTAAAATAATCGAACATTATAGCATATGCAATCAATCATATATCTGAAGCATATGAGACTCGACTCATTATTATAATAAGGATCCAATATGTGTTCAATTCCTTGCTATAATATTTTAATATATAGAATCTCTAATGTTCAAACATTTCAACATGCTATTCATATATGTCTTTGACTAAGTTAAACTATACAATCTAAACCTTTAGATTCGTAATTAAGTAAGAGTGCCCTCTCCCTTAAGTCAGCTATAGCGAAACCGTTCCCAACTTTTGCAACTTGCAAATTAGAGACATTGTTCCCTAGGAACAATATTATCAACATGCAATACCAACATAATAATTATGCTCCCACTAGCTTGGACACGTACTCAAAAATCAATTGGAGTTCTAGAAATCAATACCTTTTGACTTTCTCATGAAAGTACAAATTCCTATTTCGGGATGCTTCATCAAGCCTCTAATTAGGCTTCTTAAGCTTATGTATTTTATCTGGATAATGTATGTGTTTAAACTCTTTCAAGACGTGATAAATATATCTCCTGAAAGTTTAAACAATTCATTGTTATTCCTCACAATTCGAAATATGAAGATGGATGCTGTAATCATATTGTGAATTTTAGAATGCAATTAATACAAGCAATATCCGTATTAATCTTTATCAGATCCTAAAATCTTAGCGGTAGTATTTCCTCATAATCATTTTCACGTGTTAGAGCCAAACCTTTACGACTTAGATTCATGATGCATACGTTCCTATCCATGTGAATCTATCATTTCCAGCCTACAATCATAAAACAAGGTTTATGAAAAACCAAATTTAGATTTAGTTTCCTTCATGGACTGAACTTCGTTGTTCTTAATCTCTTGCCTTCTAGTAGCTCAAGGGCCCACCAATGCTTCCATGTTATTAGTAGATCACCCATATTGATAGTTGTACTTTCACTGACCAACATGCTTTACTTTTGTAGTTAAATGTAGAACATAGTGTTGGATTAGTGTCTAAGTCCATAACTATATTTGGGTATGTACTTGACCCGGTTGTTGCATGGTCCTTTTGGGTTGCCTTCACCAAAGCAACTTGACTGGATGATTAATAGAGAAAGAGTTTATTATGGTTTATTAATATATTCTAAGAATAATATATTAAAGGAGAAATCATATTTGTTTAATTAACATTGATCAAGAATTAATTTTGTGGTCAAAAGAGGTTAATTGAATTAAGGGGACTGAACTTGTAATTATGTGATAGTTGAAAAGTTGGGTGAGGAAACCCTAGTATATAGGGTGGACAAAATCTAGGGATTAAGGCCTTAGAATTCGTCCAAGGCAAGGGGTTCTAGAATTATCTTTTAGGCTGCTTGGTGGCTAAGTAACCAGATAAGGATAATGACTAAAACCCTAATCCTACACCTATATAAAGACCCCTTATGCATGGGAATTTGGCTACACACCTAACCCTAGAGTCTTTGGAGCCGAATTTTCCATCCCCCCTCTCTCTCTTGCTTCATCCGAATTGTTTTGGTGTTTGTTATTCATTAAAGGCACAACATTTGGGGTGCTAAGGTTTTTAAAGCTTCAAGATCTAAAATCAACAATCAAGGTAATCATCTAACTTGTTCATTTTGATATTAAATTAGTTTTGTTGTATGCTAGAATTGGGCCATGGAAGTCTTGGACAATTATGCATGTACAATTAGAAAAATTAGATCCAAGCATTAGGGTTTGCATGAACACCATAGGAATGTTGTTATGCTCAAAACCCATCAGTGGTATCAGAGACTAGGATGTTTATTCTAATGTATTTGATGCAACACTTATTGTTCTTGGCTATTAAAATTCATTTTCTGAATTATACCAGACTCACGACGTGACCAGAGTAAGTCACGACGTGAGTACAACTGTTTGCTGGATTACGAAAATTATGCCTTACTTTGTTTTGGATACTTGCCATAAAATGTTTTTTCAAATTAAAAATCAGATTTTTTTTGTTATGGTAATTAATATCCAAATCAAATTAATGAATAATTGTCAATTTAAGATAACTACTTGTTTTATAAGATAAAGATTGATTATTTGTAAATTGATTTGAATTATCTTGTTAAGGATTAGGTCAAATTTTGTGATAAGTGTTAATAATATGATTAGTTAATTATTTTTCAAATTTGATATAAAATGTTTTGAAAATTTTCAAAACTTGCCCTCAAGTTTTGGAATTTAAATTTTTGATTAAAAGTTTAAATTATAAAATGTTTAAATTCTAAAACCCTAGAGTTTTAAAAGTTAAAATTCAAACCTTATACTATATTAATATTAAAAGATTAATTATTGTATATGTATAAGAATATGGCTAGTCTTAGCGTTAGTAGGCTTCATTCACGAAGCCGATCTATAAGAAGGGGGGGGGGTATAAGGTTATGACATATAAAATGGCCATTTATTGGGTGTCCACTCTCACCCACCGCTTCCATGATTGGTGGAGGGTCGTTAGCCGAACGGGTAGGATAGGTGACTACTTCATTAATAAGTATGATGAATTTATTAAAGTAACTAATTGTTTTTATAAAATTCTCACTCTTAGTTACTTTAGGTAAAATGTGAAATGATGTTATTCTATGAAATTACACTTTGTATCCTTGTCAAATCGTTAGTGGAGCGTGTGTGGTTAACCGACACATTAATTTGGCATTAACAAGGGTGACTCGATGTTTGTCATAGATCAATGGAGTGTATGTGGCTAACCGACACATTGATTAGGTGACTGTAACGTTGAGGGTACCAAGTACATTTGCATGGTTATTCACACATTGTTTGTGATCCTCGGTATCCTAGTTACAAACTTAAAGGGCAAATCGAGATTTAAACATGCCATTGTAAAGTTCAATGACTCTCAAAAGATCTAGGAGTTTCAATACATTTACGGCATCCCTCTTCTCAATTGTGAATAATGTTGTTGGATCCTAGCCCTAATTTCTCATTTTGTGTGTTTAATTGGGGATTCTTTATCCAATCAAAACTTGTGTCTTTTCTTTTTCAGATGTCTACTCCAAACACAAACGCTTCTGGTTAAAACCCGACTGGCTCTTTCTCACTCATGAATTTGTGTGGAAGAGTGATCTTTGATGGATCCAACTTCAACGATTGGATCATGAACATTCGCATGGTCACTCGTTACAAGGACAAAGAATATGTCCTCGACAAAGAGCTCAAGGAGGTTAACATGAACACTGCTACTCCCGAGGAGATCACTGCCTTTGAAACCCACGAGCGTGATGCCACGAAATTCCATTGCATCATGCTCGCGACCATGAATGCTGAACTCCAAAAGTCCTACGTGGACTACTACACCTACGAGATGCATCAATATTTGATGGACAGGTACCATCAAAGTGCGAGGCAAGAGAGGTACGCGATCATCACTGGAGACTATTAGCAGTCTTGGTTACATATAACAACATAACATAATAATAACAGTCAGACCCAATGGGTCTTCACACATGTAGCTATTCTACCATACAACTCATACAAACATGCAAGTGTCACAGAGACAACTAACACACAATAATAACAACTAGACCCAGCTCGTCCTTACAAGTACAACTATTCCACCATACAACTCATACCTCATACAATCATGCAAGAGTCACAAAGACAACTAGCATACATTGGTAACAGCTAGACCTAGCTGGTCCTCACAAATACAGATTAATCTACCACACAGCTCATACAAACATGCAAGAGTTACAGAGACAACTATCATCCTACACACATATACACACACATACACACACACACACACACACACACATATATATATATATATATATATATATATATATATATATTAGTGAGACGCCATTGGT